TTATCCTCATCAACCTCGGCTTATCCTCATCAATCTCGGCTTATCCTTATCAATCTCGGCATATCCTCATCAATCTCGGCTTATCGTCATCAATCTCGGCTTATCCTCATCAATCATGGCTTGTCCTCATCAGTCTCAACTTATCCTAATCAATCTCGGCATATCCTCATCAATCTCGGCTTATCCTCATCAATTTCGGCATATCCTCATCAATATCGGCTTATCCTAATCAATCTCGGCATATCCTCATCAATCTCGGGTTATCCTCATCAATTTCGGCATATCCTCATCAATATCGGCTTATCCTAATCAATCTCGGCATATCCTCATCAATTTCGAGCCATTCCCATTTACCTCGGATTATCCTAATCAATCTCGGCTTATCCTCATCAACCTCGGCTTATCCTCATCAATCTCGGCTTATCCTAATCAACCTCGGCTTATCCTCATCAATCTCGGCTTATCCTAATCATTCTCGGCATATCCTCATCAATTTCGAGCCATTCCCATTTACCTCGGATTGTCCTAATCATTCTCGGCATATCCTCATCAACCTCGGCTTATCCTCATCAATATCGGCTTATCCTCATCAATCTCGGCTTATCCTCATCAATCTCGGCTTATCCTCATCAATCTCGGCCTATCCTCATCAATCTCGGCTTATCCTCATCAATCTCGGCTTATCCTCATCAGTCTCGGCTTATCCTCATCAATCTCGGCTTATCCTCATCAGTCTCGGCTTATCCTCATCAATCTCGGCTTATCCTCATCAATCTCGGCTTATCCTCATCAATCTCGGCTTATCCTCATCAATCTCGGCTTATCTTCATCAATCTCGGCCTATCCTCATCAATCACGGCTCATCCTCTTTAATCTCGGCTCATCCGCAGTAAGCTCAGCTCATCCTCATCAAGCTCGATTTACCCTGAATAACCTCGGCCTACCCTCATCAATTCTCGGCCCATCCCCAATGATCTCGGCTCACCCTCATCAATCTTGGCTTATCCTCATCAATCTCGGCTCATCCGCATTAAGCTCGGCTTATCCTCATCAATCTCGACTCATCTTCGGCAATCTCGGCTTATCCTCCGCAACCTCGGCTTATCCTCATCTACCTCGGGTTATCCTCATCGACCTCGGCTTATCCATCAATCTCGGCTTATCCTCATCAATCTCGGCTTATCCTCATCAATCTCGGCTTATCCCCAGCAATCTCGGCTCATTCTCATCAATCTCGACTCATCTTCGGCAATCTCGGCTTATCTTCCGCAACCTCGGCTTATCCTCATCTACCTCGGGTTATCCCCAATATTCTCGGCTCATCCCCATCAATCTCGGCTTATCCTCATTATTGTCGGCTTATCCTCGGCAACATCGGCTTATCCTCATCAATCTCGGCTTATCCCCAATAATCTCGGCTCATCCCCATCAATCTCGGCTTATCTTCAGCAATCTCGGCTTATCCTCGGCAACATCGGCTTATCCTCATCAATCTCGACTTATCCTACGCAATCTCAGCTCATCCTCGTCCTCGGCTCATCCTCGGCTTATCCTCGGCAACCTCGACTTACGCTCACCAATCTCGGCTCATCCGCAGTAAGCTCGGCTTATCCTCATCAATTTCGGGTTATTCTTAGGAACCTCGGCTCGTCCTCATCAATCTCGACTTATCCTACCCAACCTCGGCCTATCCTAATTAATCTCGGCTCATCCGCAGTAACCTCGGCCCACCCTCATCAATCTCGGCTTATCCTCATTAATTTCGGCTTATCCTTAGCAATCTCGGCTCATCCTCATCAATCTCGGGTTATCGTCAGCAATCTCGGCTCATCCTCATCAATCTCGGCTTATCGCCAGCAATCTCGGCTTATCCTTCGCAACGTCGGCTTATCCTCATCAATCTCGGATTAACCCCAGCAACCTTTGCTCGTCCTCATCAGTCTGGGTGCATCCGCAGCAACCTCGGCTGATCCTCATAAATCTCGGCTTTTCCTCATCAACCTCAGCTCTATTCTAATCAATCTCGGCTTATCTTCAGCAACCTTGGCTCACCCTCAGTAACCTCGGCTTATCCTCAGCAACCTCAGCTCATCCGCAGTAACCTCGGGTCACCCTCATCAATTTCGGCTTACACTCAGTAACGTGGGCTAATCCGCAGCAATAGCGGCTTGTCGCCGTCAACCTCGGCTCATCTGCAGTATCCTCGGCTTATTCTCATCAGTCTCGGTTTATCCTCAGCAACCTCGGCTCATCCTCGTCAATCTCGGCTTATCCTCAGCAACCTCGGGTGATACCCAGCAATCTCGGCTCATCCTCATCCTCAGTAACCTCGGTTTATCCTCAGGAATCTCGGCTTATCCTCAGCAACATCGGCTTTTGCTCGTTTTATCCTCATCAACCGCGGCTTTATCCTCAGCAACCTCGGCTTATCCTTATCGATCTTAGCATATCCTCCGCAACCTCGGCTTACGCTCATCAATCTCGGCTCATCGGCAGTAAGCGCGGCTTATCCATTTGGGCTTGTCCTCAGGAATCCTCAGGAACCTCGGCTCATCCTCAGCAATCTCGGCTTACCCTCAGCAATCTCGGCTTATCCTCAGCAATCTTGGCTTATCCTCAGCAACCTCGGCTTATCCTCATCAATCTCGGCGCATCCGCAGTAACCTCGGCTCTATCCCTATCAATCTCGGCATATCTTCAGCAACCTCGGCTCATCCTCATCAATCTCGGCTCATCCTCAGTAACCTCGACTTATCCTCAGCAATATCGGCTCATCCTCAACCTCTGCTTGTCCCCAGCAATCTCGGCTTTCCTCGGCTTGTCCTCAGCAATCTCGGCTTGTCCTCAGCAATCTTGGCTCATCTTCATCAATCTCGGCTTATCGTCATACATCGCGGCTTATCCTCAGTAACCTCGGCTTATCCTCATAAATCTCGGCTTAAACCCCAGCAATCTCGGCTTATCCTCATCAACTTCGGCGCATCCGCAGTACCCTCGGCTTATCCTCATCAATCTCGGCTTTTCTTCATAAACCTCAGCTCTGTCCTCATCAATCTCGGCTTATCTTCAGCAACCTGGGCTCATCCTCATCAATCCCGGCTTATGTCCAGCAACCTCGGCTCATCTTCGTCTATCTCGGCTCATGTTCAGTAACCTCGGCTTGTCCCCAGCAATCTCGGCTTATCCTCACCAACCTCGGCTCATCCTCAACCTCGTCTTACCCCCAACGATCTCGGCTTTTCCTTGGCCTCTCCTCACCAATCTAGGCTTACGCTCATCGATCTCGTCTCATCCGCAGTATCCTTGGCTTATCCTCGTCAATCTCGGGTTATCCTCCGCGACCTCTGCTTTTCCTCATCTATCTCGGCTTAACCCAAGCAACCTCGGCTTGTCCTCATCGATCCCGGCATATCTTCACCAACCTCGGCTCATGCTCATCAATCTCGGTGTATCCTCAACCTCGGGTTATCCCCAGCAGTCTCGGCTCATCCTCAGTAACCTCGGCTTATCCTCGGCAAATCTCGGCTTATCCTCAGCAATATCGGCTTGTCCTCGGCTTATCCTCATCAACCCCGGTTTACCCTCAGCAACCTCGGCTTATCCTCATCAATCGCAGCGTATCCTCAGCAACCATGGCTAATGCTCATCAGTCTCGGCTCATCCGCAGTAAACTCGGCTTATCCTCGTCATTTTCGGCTTATCCTCATCAATTTCGGCTTGTCGTCATCAAGCTGGCCTTATCCTCATAAATCTCGGCTTATCCTCATCAATCTCGGCTTATCCTCGGCAAATCTCGGCTTACCCTCAGCAATCTCGGCTCATCCTCATCAACCTCGGGTTATCCCCAGCAATCTCGGCTCATCCTCAGCAACCTCAGCTTGTCCTCATCAATCTCGTCTTATCCTCAGTATCCTCGACTGCTCAGCAATCTCGGCTTATCCTGAGCAACTTCGGCTTAGCCTTGGCTTATCTTCAGCAACCTCGGCTTATCCTCATCAATCTCGGCTTATCCTTGGCTTATCTTCAGCAACCTCGGCTTTCCCTTATCAATCCCGGCTTATCCTCAGCAATCTCGGCTTATCCTCGTTATCCTCATCTTGTCCTTTTTCTGGGCTCATCCTCATCAGCCTCGGGTCATCTTCAGCAACCTCGGCGCATCCTCAGCAACCTCAGCTCATTCTCAGCAACCCCGGCTTATCCTCATCAATGTCGGCTTATCCTCAGCAACCTTGGCTTATCCTCATCAATCTCGGCTTGTCCTCAGCAACCGCGTCCTATCCTCAGAAACCTCGGCGTATCCTGAGCAATCTCGGCTCATCCTCAGCAATCTCGGCTTATCCTCGTTATCCTCATCTTGTCCTTTTTCTGGGCTCATCCTCATCAGCCTCGGGTCATCTTCAGCAACCTCGGCGTATCCTCAGCAACCTCAGCTCATTCTCAGTAACCCCGGCTCATCCTCATCAGTCTCAGCTTATCCTCAGCAACCTCGTCTTGTTCTTTTCCTCGGCTTATCGTCGGTATCCTCGGCTTATCTTCGGCATCCTCGGCTTATCCTCATCAACCTCGGCTTATCCTCATCAATCTCGGCTTATCCTCAGCAACCTCGGCTTATCCTTGTCCTCGGCTTATCCTCACCAACCTCGGCTCATCCTCGGCTTATCCTCATCAACTTCCGCACATTCTCAGCAACCTGGGCTGATTCTTGAGCAGTGCTGGAATTAATATATCAACAGGACCGCTGCATGTTTATCTACTCCTTTGCAAGGGCGGCAGTGCTAGGAAGAAGGGAGAAGGAAAGCTGCGCGGTTGTATGTATATGGTCGAACAAAGGCGATTATTTTCGTTCATAATTAGGCGAAAATTGCAGAACGGCCCCTACATCGCGTTGGTTGGAGGAGCCCGATATAAAGAGACTTTGTTTCCTTTCTTGGGATGAAGGGAAAAATGTCGCGCTTCGCGCTCCGCGGCTCATTATTAATTTTGTTAGTACCCCATACTAATTTTGTTGCCGATGGATGATGCCCGGTTAATTTTCATATGCCCTACCCAAGACCAATAGCTAATAATAGTTGGAAGTTAATTATTCATGAACCAAAACTGAAAAATTGAAGAATTAGCTGCATTCATCCCCCCAATCTCATTTATAATGCAGATGGATGATGATGACGAGGAAGGGCCTAAGCAGGGCATGTTCTGCCTTCAGCGTAGCCCCGAGGAGATTTTCGGTGACGACGATGCGGCTTCCAAGCTCTACCCCGTCACGGAGCTGGACCCGCACAAGGTGCTTACAATATGGGACGGTATGGTACAAATATGGGATGGACTGGTACCGAAGATGGGTGCATTCCCAGATGGATGTGCAAGGGGCGCATGAGGTCTGGGACTGACCGGTACCAGACGTGTACAATATGGGATGGTCCGAGAGAAGCGCATGTATGATATGGGATGCATGGCGCGGAAGAGGTTTACAATACGGGGCGGGCTTAAAAAAAGAGTGTAATATGGGATGGGCCCCTAGAATATGTGGAAAATATTGAATGGATTTGCAAAGGTCGGGTGAAATACGGGATGAAGCGGTACAGTCACGTGCACAAGACGGGGTCAATGTTGACCGTCTTGTTTTTTTTCGCAGCAGGATAGCCTACTTGTATGCTGTTGCAACTGACGACTCTCGTGATCTGTCTTGTTGTCGTTTTGCAGCAGTGTTGCTGTCGTCATTGTTCGTGCTATTGTTATTGTTAATAAAGAAACCCGCACTGGTCCAACTGACATCCGGTGCTTTTTTTAATGTTAATTAAGAGCAATTGTTTGGTTGCTCTTGTGGTTTCGGCCCCATTTTTTTCTGGCCTCTCTCAAAAGTCCTTGATGAAAGGCGACGCCTCCCGTAGTCACCGTTGGTTTTGTATCGCACCTATTCTCTTTTTTACGCTGCTGTTCTAGTTCTCTCAACGTCCTTGATGACAGGCGACGACTCCCGTGGGTCACCGTGTTAGCTAGTGTTCATTTGGTTGTTTTCGCTCCTGTTAAGCTGTTTCGCTCTCCCTAAAAGTCTTTAATTAAGGGAGACGACTGGGGCGTGTCAACTACGACCGTTGATTGTGTTTTTTCGCTCGTGTTGCGCTGTTCTTCCTCTCTCCAAAGTCCTTGATGAAGCCTGACGACTGGACCAAGGCTCTCTCGACGATTCGCAAGCAGCTGCCGTCGCGGCTGAACGTGGTGATGCTCGGGACGGAGCGGCCGCTGCCCAAGCGGCTGACCATCAGGACGGGCAAGGCGGAGAGCACGAAAGTTAGCGTGCAGATCTTGGATGGCAACAAGAAGGTGTGTGTGTGTGTTGTGTGCGTGTGTGTGTTTTTTTTTTTTTTTCTCCCATCATTGGATTCTGTCGTCTGCCCCTCTGGCCACTATCCTCCACTTCCACTAGCTAGACGACCCGACCGGGGTCACACAGGAGGGTAAGTACGTGTGTATTCGTGTGTGTATTTGTGTTTCTCTTGGCACTCAGCACTTGTAACAACGCTAAAAGTTCGTGTGATTTTTTTGTTAGCATTGACCGCACGGCTGACCGATGAATAGACGTCAGTCTCAGTGCGATGTTGTGGTTCGTCTTTATTTCTGGCACCGACCGCGCTAACCGGCTGACCAATGAAAAGACATCAGTCTCAGCGCTGCTACAGACGGGAAACGCACCTGTAAGGCCATGATCTGGCGTGTGGTATCAGCGGAGTCTGAGCGTTTTAATATTTGGGGACGACGTTGAGAAATCGGTGCTCCTCCATGTGCCGCTGTTTGACGTACCGCAGGATTGCATAAGATACCACGCCCCCTGGACCGATTCTCCGAGCCTGGTTGTTCTGCATCGGAAACGGCGACGGTGGTGCCGAAAATGGCGACGTTGGAACCGTATCGTCGAGAGCCTCCCGATCACGAACGTTTTGCCCAGTACACCACACCGCACACCCAACCAACATCACACGCATCGCTCTCGGTCCTTTGTGCTTTCCCCACCGGCACGGCGGCACACTGCGTGTCTTGACGCGTGGCATGTGAGCAGCCCATGGTGCAGATCCCCCAGGGCAAGGCTCTGCGCGCGATAGAGATTCTTGAGCGCTTGGGTGAAGACAGAGAACCGGAGGTACGTGCGGGGAGGGGGAGGTGGCTTCGATGTTTGTGTGTGTTGTCGTCCCGTTATATCTGGTTCGGAATGAAGACGTTCTTGGTGACAGGTCTTGTAGCGGTACAGCAGTACCGCCGCGCTTGAGAACCTTCTTCCGCTGTGAGTCATGAACAGGTGCATTACATCAGTTGACAAAATGCCCACAATATGTTGGCGTGGATGGGAGTGTTCAAGTTCTCATTTCGAGCTTCGATCCATTGTATGTTGTATATGGCGCCAGTCTGTACACCTCTTGGTGTGTTTTCGAATCAGCCGGGGTAGGAGGAAGCCAACACAGTTTTTTTTGTGTGGCTTCGATGCACGGGGGTAATTATCGGGATGGTATGAGGCATGATGTGCGAGTTATCGCCGTCCACATGAGTGCTGGGGGTTGAAGAGGCTCTGGATGAAGTTTGGGGCGGTTTCAAGGCCATGAAATAAGGGTCCAAAAATCAAAATCGAACCATCGACATGATAATCGGCTCCGTTGGCTGGGAAAAACACGAAGTGTTCTCTATATTATTTCAATGCCCTCCGTGTGAAAACCAAGGTATGGTACAAATATTTATGTTCCTACTGAAATAATCGCACATTCAACCAGCAGAGATCTAACAAAAAATATGCTGCCCGCGAACATCCGAAGGGATGCCACATCTGGGAATAGTGTCCACGAACGTATACTCCCACTTTCATCCTAATAGCTTGTCCGAGTAACCCCGGCCACACTTGGCATCCCTTGCCACACATGGTACTTATCATTATCAAGAGAGAACCATATGCATGCGTCCGCTGGTTGCCGGTTAAATCACCACTTCAAGGGACTCTTTCGCGGCATGACAACTTGTGGACACTCGACGAACAACCGGTGTGTAGCCATAGATCCCCAGGGGAAACCGCATGGCAAAGTTGAGCAGCACCGCAGGTCGAACGGAGAAGGATGGAGGGACGCTCCCCGTTGTTCGACTGAGCAATGCGAAGAGCCCCGCACGCCCAGCCAAGCCCGGAAGTAAAAGCCAGAAGCAGAAGCAGCTTACTACTTCTGCTTCTGCCTTTTACTTTTGGCAGGACTGGCCGTGTGGGTTTCGTCCCACTGCTCAGTTGGTTCACGGGAAGCTGCTCGCTCCGTTGTTGTCCGAACCTGCTGCGTTCAAGTTCACCATTTGAAAAGTTGCTCGCTACACACAACGGGTTGTTCGTGGAATGCCAATGATGGCACTCTTTGTATTTCGAGTGAGAATCCTTTGACGTGTCCATGTAACCTCCACCAGCGGAAGTATCAATCTCTTGTTAAGTATGGCGAGGAATGCCAAGCGTTGCCGAAGTGCTCGGACAAGCTAAGCTGCAAGAAAGGGTGAAAGTGAGGGTGCGCCTTCGTGGATATTTTTCCAGATACGAGATTTCAAGGGAACCTGACTCAGTAGAGGTACGGTATACTCTCACCCGACGCCTTTTTTCTCAAACTCAGGAAATATTGAATCATCATCTCTTCCCCTATTTTTTTATTTGTTTTCTGGACCGATCAGAGCTCGATGTCCATCTTTTATTTTGAATGTTTGGCACCTCGTTAAGAACACTGGCATGGGGGGCTCAAAGAATGCGCACAAGGACGTACGTACTGCTACCCTACCGCCCTCACCCTCGGAAATACTAACGTTTTTCCTTTTACGAATATCGGTTTGTGTTGGAATTAGTATTGGGAAGCTTCTGCGGGGATGGATTCATTGTACCGCCGGGGGTGGCAATATATATTGTGCGTATCCCGCTGCTCAAAATATGTGAAATTTCGTATACCCAACTCATACCCCTGCCTGATTTCGACCTCATCGAATTTTGGGGTGTAGGCGTCCTTGTGTGAACTCCCGGAGCCCCCTTTTGGAACGGGACGTCGGGGGCCACGTGGGGGTTCTTGATACTATGATACCCTCTCTTCATTTCGTCGATCACGGTCCAACCAACTGCAAATCAAGTTCTCCTGTGTACATTGGTCGGCGGCCTTACTTTCGATCGGCACGTTCTTTCTTTTCGTTTACGTGCCGTCGCTGCTGTTGTTGTTGGAACGTCCGGGCTTCCCCGTTCAGAGACGCGGTTTGTCGAGGCTAGAGCTGTTTCGTCTATATGTGTATGTCTGACGCTGTTGCTACATGGCAGTGCTTCACGACCTGCGAAGTCGCAACCCTCTCTCACCACGGCCTCCATAACTAATATTTTCCCCCAGCCCCTCTCTCGCCACGTGCCTCCATAGCTGCGTAAGATTTCTCCCCCCCAACCCCTCTTTCGCCACGGCCTCCATAGCTGCGCGAGATTCCCCCCAACCTCTCTCTCGCCATGCAGAACTAAGATTTACCCCCCCAATCCCGCTCTCGCCAAGCAGACCTAAGATTTACCCTCCCAATCCCACTCTCGCCACGGCCTCCATAAACAACCTTGTGTCGCCGCGCGCGTCACGAAACTGAATCGCCCACGCTCGCTCCCCCAGTGCTGACCGCTCGGTTGATAAGCGATGCTGACCGCTTCGTGCCACCGGCCTCTCTGCTGCTGCCCGCAGCCCGTCTTGAGCTTCCTCGCGAAGCCCTTCACGGGCAAGCAGTACGACAAGATGTACTTCTTCGACCCCATGAACATCAAGGAGCCGGGGGACTACACCTGGGTGAGTGGTGGAAGGGCACACCCCTGCCGAAGCGTCTTCTTTCAGCTCGTTGGGGTCGTCGGGCGGACGGCCTACGTGAAATAATTAAGTTTAAATATACTACATATACGGAGTACAACGGAAGGGATTTGCGTAGCCTACACTTATCCCTAACCCCGAATTTCGACCGATTTTGTAAGTTATCCAATATGTTTGCTTCATTTGTACACCTGCGTAGGTGACTGCGTTGGGCACGGCAGCAGTAGTCTCGACCTCGGTAGAGCTACTTGCAGACACACCCATTCGCTTGGCAGCGTCGTCATTGCCTGTGAGCGGGTAATCATCACTGGAGTACCAGTAGCTTCTAGTCTTTGGGGTAGACATCGATAATCCTACCGCCAAACACCTGCTGCTCCTGGCAGAAGAGTCCGGCGGCTTGACGTTGGATACAGCCGCAGTAGGCTTGACCTTGGCACCCTACTACCTGCAAGAACCTGTTCGCTTGGCAGTGTCGTCATGGCCTTTTGTGAGCGGGTAAATGGAGACGAGTGATCCCGTAGCGTCCGTTGTACGGTTCGGGGTCGTTGGGCACAGCCGCAGGAGTCCCGACCCCGACCTCGATAAACCTACCTCGAGGCACCTGTTCGTCACCGTATGTTGGTTTTCTTTTTTCTTTTTTCATGATGATGATGATGATAACATACAACTTCGGCAATGAGCTTGTTCAGGCGTCGGACTCGGTGTTAAGGTATCTAAGTAGGGATCCTTCTGACGGTAACAAGAGTACCGTCCGCGAGCAATCATGGCCTCGGTGTACAGCTACCACCCCTGTTGGAGGCACGGTGCTCTATGTATGTCTCACCGGTTCCCCGTCGTAACACGTCCTATTGCTATCGTCTATGGGGACCCCGAAATCTCAACCATATCGCACATAACACGGTAGCGGATGTGACAAATTAACATGACATCAAACTTAACCTGCAGACAGGAAGTGTCGCTGATAGGTAAATCAAACACGGAGGCGCCTTGACTTGACTGGAGGAAAATGTTGTTCCGATGGATGGCTTATTCGAATGTCAACGTCAACGCAGACGGTGGCTATTGCGAAGGAGGGGACCTCGATCAAGAACAAGTCCGAGAGGCTACTAGCCGTGACGTGCAACATCACCGTGCTGCCCGGCAACCCCACCAAGTCCTTCCTGGAGGGGGACGACTGGGACGCGGTGAGTTCTAGATGCTTCGGGGGGGGGGATGTACTCAAAGCCGTGCAAGCAGTAGTCGTTGGACCATGGACCTCTCTTCCCTACAAAGCCGGGACGGGAGAACGCCGGGTTTTGAGGCTCGCACATCACGCAGCGCATAGCTCCGTGGGGTATTCGGCGAGTCGTATGAAGGGTGCACTTCGGGAGGGGGGATTGACAGCGCCTTTGGTTGTATTTTGAAGCCCATGTAAGTGGTGAGTTCTGGATGCTTTGAGGGGGGGGGGGGGTGCTCATAGTCGTGCATGCCGTAGTCGTTAGACCATTGACCTCTCGGCGCTTGGTGGCTGTCCTGTTTGAAAAGCAGGGTAGTGGTGAGCTCTCGATGCTTCGGGGGGGGGTATTCTAGAGTCACGACGTTGTGCCTATCTTTTTTTAGAACAGAGCTTCTCGATGTCTCGGGGTTGTGATAATAGAATGGTGCGTTTTTTTGTTGTCATTGAAGAGCAGGAAAGTGGGGGTGGAATTTTTTCTTAGTTGCAAATGCTGCATTGAGCTGATCCCTCATAATTTAACTCTGCATATCAGGTCCCCCCCCGCCCCCGCCCCACGTCAACAGCAATGAACCAACATCGGGTGTCTATCCCTCTATCCCTCTGGGAGACCCGTGCTGGCTGCTCATCTTCGTGGTGAAGCTCCGTGACATCACGCCCTCCCCCCCGTCCCCCCCCCCAAATTTTATTAACATCGCGCAGTCCCTCCCTCTGGGAGACCCGTGCTGGCTGCCAGCGTTCGCAGTGAAGCTCCGCGACGCGAGCAAGTGCGTCTGTCCGATGCGGTCGTACAAATCCGTGACGGTTTCGTGCTCGGAGCCCGGGGCGTTCGACATCAAGCACGCCTCCTCCGGTTCCGCGACGCACGAGATGGCTCTGGGGAAGGCGACGAGCGACTCCGCGGGCCCCCTGGAGTACGATGACGTGAGAGGCTGGTCTTGTGTTTTTTTCGATTGGAGGAAAGGGTAATTTCTATTGCTTTTTTTTTTTTTTCGATCACGGTTGACCTAAGGGAGAATAACATGGTCTTGGTGTGTGTTCTCGACTGCTGTAGTTGTGTAATGTGCCGTAGAAATGCGGGGAGATGCACAGATGTGAGATCAATTAGAGTTTTATTTTTTGATAATAGATTTTGCTCCACAGCCAAGAGTGTGCGGAATCCGGGGCCACTCGGAACCTGTCCCCTGCATGCGCGCACGCCATCATTTTTTCAAACCAAGTTCGTGATTGAAAAAATGAAAAATTATTGGGAAACGACACAACAGGGTGTTCCCTGGTCGAAAAGCGACACACCTGGGCACACAGTCATCAACAGCAGTAAATGCACTCATATCATTGGTCAGCGCCCAATTTCACCCCGGTGCGTCCGAAAAGGCGCAGGGTATACCCTGCCATGACTACTTTTCTCAACAACTGCTGTACCCTGTTTTCGGAAATGTACCCTGACCTGACGGGAAATGAGACCCTTTCATCAATCATTTCCCCCGCAGGAATCTTCCCAACTCCTTTTCACCTCTAACGATGGGATACCAAACGGCGAATCTTCCCGCCCAATAACAACCATGGCAGGAATCAGTTTCCGCCCCTGCAAAACAACACCAACCATCGGCTCTTCCGCTCTAAATCAACAATGGCCGGGCAATACCCCAGCACAATTGTTCCGTTTGGAAACGTGCACACTCGCGTACAGTACCCCGTGGACTACTGCTTGCTGCAGTCTAAATGCGAGACGCACGGGTTACGCTATGACAGCGAGACCGATCCAGCATCATAGCGTGACCGATCCAGCATGTAGGGTTAGTACATACGTCGATCACAAGAGATGGGACGAAAGCACACAAAGACACACTCCCTTACCGCGTCGATGCCAATAAAGAAGACACATACACACTTCGTCATTTCTCGCCTATAACAGCGACAACAACAACCAACACGTATTTATGGTATTTTCATGTTTCCGTTTCTCGTTTCTCCTCTTCAATGTCTGAGCAATTATTTGTTCGTTATTCGTTGCCAACAACTTGTGTATATTTCTTACCAGGTATGTTTTTTACGTTTCCGTTTCTCACTCTCCTCGTTGTTGCTGTGTTTTGTCTGAGCTGTTGTTTTGCCAACAACACCACACTTGTTTTTTTCGGAATTTTGACGTTTCTGTTTTTATGTCTTTGTTGTTTTGTCTGCGTCAGCATTCGTGGCGGCTTGTTCCGAAGCAGGCGGGCCTGCTGTCAGCGGCGGAGTACTGCACCCGCGCCATCGAGTTCGAGGTCACCGTGGTGGCGCACATGCAGCAGGACAGGCAGCAGGACGAGGACGAGAAGGTCTTCAAGAACACGTTCGATGCCACTTTCGAGGTGAGCGATTGTGGAGGGGGGGGGGGGAGGGGGGGGGTACTCATAATCGTGCATGCCGTAATCGCAGTAAACCATTGACCTCGCATCCCTACTAATCCGGGACGGAGCACGCCGGGTTCTCACCGGACCAGGCACTCACATCACCAAGCGCGAAGCGCCGTGAGGTATTCGGCGAGTCGCATGAAGGGTGAATGGGGGGGGGTACGAAATTGCGTTTTTTTCTAAGGGGGGGGCGGTATGGTGGTTTTCAAATACACGTTCAGTCGACACGGCTCTCTAAAGTGAGGCCGCAGATAGTGGGGTGAAGATACGAAAGAATGGTGGTTTGACGAAGGAAGGCGTGTGTTTTGGCGGTTTTGGGGTGCAGCACGGCTTTTGAGGTGAGACCGAAGAGATGAGGTGAACTGCACAAGACCGGGGGTACGAAATGGTGTTTTGAGTATTGGCTTGCAGTCAAAAAGTACAGGCAAGGCGAGAGGAGAAAATATCGAAGAACGCATGCAGGGGGGGGGGAGCGAGGGAGCGGACATGATTTGAACAACGAGCAACGAGATTGAAACTTGAATTGGATCACCAGAGTTTGTTGCTCTCGACGACACCAAGTGCCGCCATCGTCTGTGGTCCTGTACAAGACGGACCGGTCACAGACATTTCTCTCCGTCCCCTGCTGCTGTACCTCTTGAAGAGAAATCGTTGAGTGCCCTCCGCAACCCTTCCGATTGCGCACATGGCACGTGGTTGTTTTCTTCTCCATTCCCATGTGTGTGCCCCCTTGTGCTCCGTTCGGTGTCGCCTCGTCGAGTCGTGCCCCTGTCAATACTGTTAGCTTCTCTTGCTGTGTCTGTCTGCGTCTTGCTTTGTACCTCCCACGCGTGGCGCCCGGACTAAATATCCTTAATTTTTGCCCTATCTTACCGAGACACGCCAAACAACTGTTACCAGCTGCTCTTGCGTATCCCTCTTGATTTTACTCTCTCTCTCTCTCTCACGCGTGCAGATCCCGTTTGTGTGTCGCGTGCCATTCCGTTTCTCATGTGTCATCATCGAGGACTTGCTCCTCTCCCTCTTCTATTGCTTATCCCCCTTGCCTCTCGAACATATATTCCCTAAATAGCCCGGCAAGCCGACGGAGCTAGTGCTGCTGTCCCCAGCCTCCGACAGCGACAGCGGCCCCGTGATCACCGCGGATGCGGGGAGCAGCCTGCCGCCGTTCTCCCTGGGGGCGATGGACGCCTGCGGGAACCGGACGGCGCCCCCTCACAACGAAGCGTGGCAGGTGAGAGAGGAGGCGTTTTTTCGTTGTGCCGGTTTCATGATGAGTACCGAGGAGTTCCAAGTGGGAGAGGAGGCATCATCGTGCTGTTGTGGTGGTGGCGGTTTCATGGACGCCCCCTCACAACGAAGCGTGGCAGGTGGGAGAGGAGGCGTTTTTTCGTTGTGCCGTTTTTGTTGCCATTCAGTAGCGAGGGGTGGCAGGAGGGACAGCAGGCCTTGTGGTGGTAATGGCGACGGTTTCATGAATTGCGGGTTCATGAATTGCGGGGGGCGGAAGGTGGCAGAGAGGAGGTGTTGTTGTTGTGGTGGTGGTGGTGGTTGATGGTTTCATGGGGAAGGTGGAGGGATTCTTAAGGCGGGAGAGGAAGCGTCATCGTGTTGTGGTGGCGACGCTTTCACGACGAGTACTGTATCGAGCGGTGGAGGTGCAGAGGAGGCCTTGTTGTTGTTGTCATGGTGGTGGTGGTGGTGGCGGTGACGGTTTCATGACGAACATCGAGGGGTGGAAGGTGGGAGAGGGGTCGGTCTTGTATAGAGTTGTTGTTGTTGTTGTGGGTAAGGGTTCTCTGACGAACATCGAGGGGCAGATCGTGGGAGAGGGGGCGTTCTTGTGTCGGACGTCAAACGCTGTGGTGTCGTTGTTGTAGTGGTGATGATAGTTTTTTCTCGATGAACTGGTTGTTGGTGCCAAAGAACCAGAACCCTTGAGTACTGCCGCGCAAACTCGGTCGGGGAGTACTGAGCCAGCCAGGGTCCCCCACCATGAATACTAATAACGAGTGACGGCCGCGGGACCAAGAGTGCACACCAACTTCTCTAGGACGCGAGGTCAATGTATAGCATGCAACACATGAGTAACCCCCCCCCTCCCCCTCCGCCCCCCTCGGTGTTTGCCATCGGGATTGGGATTTCGTCGCTTGGCAACGACGTTGTAAACAAGCTAATTCACTTCGTGAACTCGGCAACCAGGTTACCGTTTTTTTTTACCTCTGTTTTTTTTTTTTCGCGGTAACCATGAATGGTGGTCGAGTAGATCATGTTGTGCGGGGTCGAGAACCCTCACTCCGCGCAACGGGAATGATCGCACCACGTTGTGTTAAAATGGTCAAGCATCCTCGAGGCAGTTACACAGCAGTGCTTATAACTGTCTCTGGAAGTGAAAGCACCAGAAAATAAATTAAGTCATACGCAGCTGTCATCCGTACGCAAGGAAGCACAAGATGCCGAACACCCTTAGCAGGATGCAGCGCACCCTTCATGCGACTCGCCGAGTACCTCACGGTGCTTCGCGCTTGGTGATGTGAGAGACTGGTCCGGTGAGGACCCGGCGTGCTCCGTCCCGGCTTTGTAGGGATGCGAGGTCAATGGCCTAACGACTACGGCATGCACGACTATGAGTACCCCCCCCCCTATCCGACGATTGGCCATCGGTGATCGGTCCTGTGGGAACAGTGCTCCGTCCTCTCGAGGACGCGTGGTCAATGGTCTAACCGCTAAGGCATGCAAAACATGAGAGTACTCCCCCGCCCCCCCCCTCCGCCGCCGCATCCCCCGAAACAGGTCACTCTTGAAATCACGGCCGCGAGCGCGGGCGACGCGGGCGAGGTAGGTCCCGAGTTCGCTGGTCCGGTGAGGGAGAAGGTCGCTGCCGGGGCGGCGAGCTTCAACGACTCCGTGGTCAAGTGGCACCGGCCGCTCAAGTCGGACGGAGAGCTTGCGGTGGTGGACGCTACGCTTTGGGTCGACACTAGCGGCAGTGAGTGTTGACCTTTTGGTGTGTGGTGAATCGGTACTGGTTTAGCCGCAGTAAGTGGTGGTGTTGGTGTTTGGAGAGTCGGCACTTGAGGGCAGCGGATTGAGTGCGGAGAGCGGGTACGATCAGCAACGAGCGCGGTTTTACTGTTTTGAGATGGCATTGGCAGCAGTCCTTTTGCTGACCTATCGGTGTTTTTCGTCGGTGAACGCCCCCCGTACACAGACCCATACGGAAGGAAGCAAAGTACATTTGTAGGCTGAATGTCCCTTGCGGTGGTGCACCTCACGAATCCACGAATCCCCCCCCCCCAATATGAGAGGACAGGAAACAAGCAGCCTCAACGTCCTTCACAAAGCACCCCCCCACCAATCCATGATTCCCGGCGCCTCCACGCCCCGACCCCCGTACACCTCATGCGTCCCCCCCGACAACAGAGGACAGGAAGCAAGTGGCCTCGACGTCCTTCACGGTGCGCGTGATGCCCAGCAAGGTCCCCTTCCGGGCCGTCGTCTGCCTCGACGGCAACGCCTGGCCGGACCCCGAGGAAGCGGAACACGCGCCGGCCGCGGGGACGGGGGCGGCCAAGGCCGCCGACGCGGTCGGGGTGAGGCGCGCGTACATCGCCGGAGGGGAGATCTCCGGGCTGCACCTGCGGCTCTACGACCAGGGCGGGAGCGAGCTTGTCGTGGGCGAGGACACGTTCGATGTGAGCTTGTTGGCGTGGCGGGATTGTTTTTGGCTGTCGCGGTTGTTGTTGTTGTATTTGTTTGTGTTGTTGTTGTTGTTGTTGTTGTTGTTGTTTTTGTAGCCCTAGTTTTGCGTTCGTTTATTTTTTTGGGCCTCTCCTGGTTAGGCACTGTCTGGTGCTTTCACACACACATTTTTTTTTTTTTTTTTTTTTTTTGTTCTTCACTTCAAATCAGCGCTCACAGCACAATGCAGTGCTCTGTATGTGTGATTCGTGCCTCTCGTTTTCGTTGTCGTCGTTTCTGTGACGTCCAAGAGATCTGCGCGTGTGCCTCCCGTGTCTAGGCTTGGTGCCTGATGCTTTTTTAAGCGTCCTGTGTGTCGGTGTCTTGCGTCTTGTCTGCCCAGGCTTCCAACAAGGAGGCCGTTACCTGCAGCTGGGATGCCGCCTGGCGGTGGCCCCCGAAGACTATCGAAAACGGGCTGGGGTACGACGTGCTTCCTGACCTGAAGGTACATTGCGTGTGGACTGCCAAAACACACGCGAAGCTACGGGGCACCCGATTCGGTTTTGACCAACATTTTTGGAATATTCTCCCCCAGAAAGGAGCGCAAGTGGTCGCAGCATAACCGGGGGCGTATTTGACCTTTTGAAACATATTCTCACCTAATACAAGGAGGAAAAAAAAGAGAGGGAAAAAAGCGGAGTGGGGACAGGCCACTCTTTTTTCCTGAATGCGTCAAAACCCCGAAACCCACGTGATTCGGCGGGGCTCCTGAGTCGGTTTTCGGTTGTTTAGCATGCTTGCCATGTCCATGTGAGACGAGTGTTGCAGCTTACGCGTAAGCTTCGGCGTTGGGAGCGTGTTGTCCGTGTTCGTGGGCACGGTGTTGAGGCTCGGCGAGCCGAACGCGTTGGCGTTGTTGTGTTGTTTTTGCCCTCTGCCTCTGTTGGCGTTGTTGTCACGCGCACACTGTAGTGCGGAACATGGAGGGGCCCCCTTGCTGTTCTTACTCTTAATTCCCTCCGCACACTTCCCTCTGCAATGCAGAAAATGACGGGGTCTGCAGCATTAGTCTCCATCTTGTTTCCTGCTCTGTTGCATGTATTTTCCTGGCCGTCCCGTCCACCTTGATCGTGTTCGTTTTTAAGGTTGCGTGTCAATGTTACGGCTCCGAAGTGTTGGCCCTTAACCCCGCTGCCTCCCCCCCCCCCCCCCACAAT